TCTCTCAACTATTTGCTTTCTACTTTTGTTCATTATGTTTTTGATGTACATTTTGATTTTACATTTTTAAAGTCAGATTTATAAATATTTTCTTTGTGAATTTTTTCATTGTTTTTATGCTCCGGACATAACATCCTGTACCTTGTAAAGGTTTACTAAATACTCATTTGTGGTTTTAGCTTGTTTTATAGCATATTTAAAAGTATCCTGTAAACTATGTGGGACTTACTCAAGTTTATGATTTGAGGTCAGACTCTAATTTAAATTTTTCTCCCATTCATTGAAATAATCTATTGTTTTCTAACCTACTTGTGCTTTTTTTTTTCTAATGAACTTTATTTATTTTTTGAGACAGGGTTTCACTCTATCACCCCAACTACAGTACAGTTATTGTAGCTCACTGCAACCTCAAACTCCTGGGCTTAAGACATCCCCTGCCTCAGTCTCCTGAGTAGCTGGGACTGCAGATAGGAGGCTAATTTTTTTTGCTTGAATTTTTGGCTGGATTCAGGCTATCTTTTTGGCCTTGACCTCAAGTGCTAGGATTATAGGCTTGGGCCACTGAACCCAGCCTTAAATCAACTTTAAATTATTTTAAATATCCATATCTGACCAGGCACAGTGGTGGCTCATCTCTGTAATCCTAGCACTCTGGGAGGCTGAGGTGGGTGGATCACTTGAGCTCACCGGTGCCAGACCAGCCTGAGCAAGAGAAAGATCCTGTCTCTACTAAAAATAGCTAGGCATTGTGGCAGGTGCCTGTCGTTTCAGTTACTGGGGAGGCTGAGGCAAAAGAATCACTTGAGCCTAAGAGTTTGAGGTTGCTGTGAGCTGTGATATCCTAGCACTCTACCCAGGCTAGCAGAGTAAGACTGTCTCAAAAAAAGAAAAAAAATACCCACATCTGTTTCAAGATTCTTTAGTCTGTTGGTTTATTTATGAAAAAGAGAGGTTGTTAGTGAGCCAGGTATTATGTGAACATTTTTAGAAAGCTTGTTCTTGTTTTATAGACAGGGAGTATTATTATGTGTTGTTTATGATTTAGTGTATAATACACATGTTTAAGTAAGTTTTAGAGACTGGGTTAGAATTTTAAGTGAAAGAATGACCAGTCTTCATATTGTTTATTGGAGATCTGTCTGCATTCTTTGATGTTTCATTCATCACAATGGCTAACCAACACTGAAACCAAAAATTTGTGAAATTCCAATTCAGATCAATGTATATTTTATAATTATGTTTTTTCTCATTGTTTCTATGTGTGTTTGAGAGGACAGCCCGGAGCACTCTCCTTATGTATTCTTAGGGAATGCTCTCTAGGAGAGAAATATCAGGCATCTATCTATGCACCCTCTGCTAAATAGGTATTCTTTGGCTTGCAAAGGTATGAAAATGCTAACTTACCAAGAGAACCGTGAAATCAATAATTCCTATAGATAGTTCTAATTATATAGAAATCTAAACCCTAAAAATAAATGTATTGCCTTAAGTGTACAAAGTATATGTATATTATGCAGGTCATATGGAATTGCTAATATTTAACCAATTTCATATAGTTCACCTTGATACCTATAGTCACATGTAAGCTTTAAAATAGCCCAAGCCTAACTAATAGGGAGCTTTTTTTTTTTTTAGATTCCACCCCTAAAAAGCAAGAGGTGTTTAGGCCAGGTATGGTGGCTCACACTTGTAATCCTGTTGGGTCCGAGAAAGCCTCCCAAATTAACCCCAACCGACAAACTCGAGACTCACTCCGATGTAAAGGGCATAAGATGAGATTTATTACAGACCCGGGAAGCCCGGGGGCCCCGGGCCTGGACTCTCCTGGCATGCAAGCCGAGGACGAGCCCCGAACTC